ATTTTGAGGGGTTATAGATTCATTTTCAGGCCAGATATATAGTTCAATGGCACAGTACCTGCCTGGTAAGCATGAGGTCCTGAGTTCGATTCCTGCTACCAAAAAAAGGGTTTATTTTCTGTATGTTTTCATAAATATACATGTATATGTACACATATACATTAAAATTAGGTTCTCAGGTGAAAGTGGAAAAGAGAAAATAAACATTCAGAGAATAACTTGCTGGTATGCAGACCTGGGTCAGCTAAGCTGCTGAGGGAGTGTTGCCAGACTGTACCACACCCTCTACTACATTTTGGGATGCTGCCTTGCTCACTTCAGGGAAATAGCTATCATTTTTCACTTGCTTTGGTCCTTTGTTGTGGAGGAAAGCATGCTAAGCACTCTAGTGTTCCATCTTGCTTATATCACTCCCAGATTTGCTATTTTTGGTACCGGGGATTAAGCCCAGGGCCTTTGCATGCTAAGCACCTGCATATTTTTATATAATAATTTCAAAACCTCACTTGTAACTACTGAAAACCAAATTAAATAAAATCTAAACTGTCCTCAGTTAAAGGCATAATTACACAGAAGTTACTGTAAACCACATTAATTTGACTGCATATGTGAGGCTGCATATATGCTAAAGACAAAAATAATTTTAGTTTTTTAATAATATTATTGACGGTATTGCTATTCTGAAACTTCTATGTATGTACATGTGTGATGGAAAAATGAAGTATTTTTTATCCACAGGAATTGAAATTTTGGTATGGGATAAAAGAGATACAGAAGACTGAAGAAATTTAATTAAAAACACCATGAACCTGACTTCCTATTTCTTCTTGGGGGTGAGGGGTAATAGTAGTGGGAACTGAATCTAAGGCCTTTGCACTGAGCTACAGCCCAGCCCCACGCCCCCTTGAGAGGCAGTCTTGCTCTTAGTCTCTAAGTTGCCCATCATTCTTGTGACGCCCCTGTCTCAACTCTCCAGAGTGCACAGGAGAGCAAGACCACACTCCGTTGGTAGACATGAATTTGAAACGTGAATGTCAATATAAACAAGTATCTTAAATGGGTGTAAGATTTGTGCTCTGGGAAAAAAATCTTTAGGAGAAAATTACCAACCTAGTGTCCAGGTACACTTAGCATCAAAACTAGTTTCTCCACACCATTTTGTTATAAGGAACTAGGAGTCTTTGAAGAAATATATGCACATCAGGAGGCAGAAAAATTCTGCTGTGACAAAAATAATCAATCTAAAATTATTTATATCATGTTCAAAAGACAGACATCAACAGATAAGGTTTCCATATGAGGACTCCACTCACTACTATTAAAATGGTACTGGAAAGTCATGGACAGTACAAAAAAGCAAGACAAATTAGAATGTCAGTATTGCGATAGAAGAACTAAATCTATCATTCACACAGGATAGGACTTTGAAGAACATCTGAAAGCCTACAATAAATTATAGAACTGATTTAGTAATTCCATGAGCTATCAGGTGAATATAAAAATTAATTACATGTCTATATATTAGCAGTAGAGAAAATACACAAAATACTACTTCAAATATCAGAAGCAGTAACTAAGAAAAAATATTGAAAGATGTTTTAAAAAGGTTCCTACCAACTAAAAGTAGAACAATTTGATTATACATATGAATATTATAATGCACAGAAATACTAGAATGTTTAAATTCATCTAGATAAAATCTTTGGTCAACTTCAAAGGATGACAATAAACTATTTCAAAAATTTAAAGAAAGAAAAATAATCTAGCTTTTGCTTTATCAAGTATACCCTCTCACCCATGTAATCAAATAATCTATGAGGACACACTTCTTTAATAGAAGCATTGGTGCAAGACAATGTAATTGTGATCTGAAACCCATAATGAAATAATATAGGCAAAGATCATTAATGGCTGCTATCATAAAAAGGAAGCCAATCCAAATGTGGTGTTTTCTCCTGAAAACAGACAGTATTTCTGGGACGTAGTTTTGCTAAAAATCTGACACTGCATTTAAAAGCTTTTAGACTTAATGCTGATTTTAGGAAGTAGAAGAGAGGAACCTTTTAAATAACATCATAGCAACATAAGTAGCAAAACAGATTGTGGAAACTCTAAAAACCAAAGGACCCAGTTTTTGGCACATATAATTAAAAGCAAGAAGAGTAATGATTCCTGTATATTGATACTCAACAAATTCCAATGTAAAAAAGTAATTTTGATCCTTATTCCAACAATTTACATAAAATTTATGATAGAATTACTATTAAGGTGTGCTAACAATATAAGTGGGTGTACATAGCGGATTCCCTATCTTTTAAATTTCCGTAAGTAAACAGTAGCATAATGGTATTTTAATGCAAGTTATTTCCCTACATAGATTCTTCAAAAGCTCTTTTCTCCCTACCAAACTAAGAACATCTGCTAGGTTTGAATTTTCCCACCCAGTGTTCTACATTCTAGTCTTAATGTAACATTTCCTCATTTCATTATGCAATCTCTCATTTCACCGTACTAAATTTCACCTTTCAATGATTATCTCAGATAACATTAGAGAAATCTTAGAGATAAAAGAGAATTTAAATGTAGAAACAACAACTTTTGTGGGTTTTGAATATTTTAGAGGTACACGTTTAAAAATATGAATTTAGAAGTTTTTCTTCAAGCAAACTATCTTGTAGAAATGCAAACACACTAAACAGTACTGCTGTTTCTGATGAAGAGCAACCTAGAACCCTTCCTATCAAGGCGTATTATAGCTTGTACCTAGATTCTGCCCCCTCAAAGCCTCCTGTGCCCACAGATGTGGTCTTTCAGAGGTGGCTGGATCTAAGGTGTATAATCCTGGGATTAGGGGTGTATGGTACTAAATTAGACCACTGATTGGTTTAGCATAGGTCTGAGTGTGGATAATGGGAAGGCCCACCCTGGGTGTGGGTGGCACCACCTAAAAGGCTTATAGCCAGGATGGGATAAAAGGGAAGGAAAGGCTTGCTTCACTGCTTGCTGCCTTCTGCTTTTTGCCTGCCTTGTTATGGACTATTTCTCCTCATCCATGTCCCTGTGTCATGATGCCCTACCTTGAAGCCAGTTGACTATGGACTGAAACCTCTACAAACTGTAAACCAAACTAAACCTTTCTTCCTTTAAATTGTGGATGTTGGGTATTTTGTCCCAGCAATGAGAAAGTAACTAAGACAAGCCCCTCTTCTGGAGAATGAAAATCATTAATATAAACTTTATCCTTTAAAGATAAAGACCTGAGATGAGAGAGTTTAAATAATTTGCAAGTCACAGTCAATGTTGAGTTTTATGTCCAACTCTTCACCCTGCCACTAAATGAGTGCCTTCTACTAGGTACTATCTCCTTATCCTTTATCACCTTTCTTGGTACTTCCGAATAGCTTTCCTCTCTTTAAACCAAAACATCACATATAACTGGGTGCACAAAGATAAACATATTCTGCAATACATGTCGAGTAAGTAAGTGGTACTTACCAGATTCTGTCTGTAAAACAGTTGAGTATATTTACTTTACATTCCCTTGAAATTATATATATATTTTTAAAAATCCATAAATTTGTTAGGAAATCATATTTCACTAATTTCCATGGCAGTGCCTAACTTAAGACCTTAGAAGATATCTTGTATTTTCAAAGGCAGATTTATTGTTAAGGAGAAGTAAAACAATACTAAAAGCTGGAAATATGCTGTGAAAAGAAATAACCTAGTAAAAAGATTTTAAAAATATTTAACAAGAAAATACCAGTTGGAGAAACACGCAATAACTATATAATAGACTGAAACGAAATTTATTAATATATTTGTGTTGATCCTTATGACACTGACCATATTTCATCCTTTTAAATTTACCAAAAGTGGTTCACATGGTTCAGCCTAATATTTCTAAGTACTGTATAGAATCTAGAACACTAAAAACCATAAGTACGTCTTTCCAAAATAACTTCACTATTCATTAACTAAAAACCACTACAGTATACTTTTAGAATAGATAACAAAGCAAGCTACATTAAACATTATAATAGCTTATATTGGCTTCGGTGAGACTCATAAATTTAATAAAGATGCAAGCTAAGAGAACAAACCCTGGACACATGTAAACACACGTAAGGTTTACTATATCTCTGATAGAAAAGCAAGGAATAGAGGAAAAAAGCTAAAGTATGGGATAAACTTATAATTTTACTAATGATATCATCCCAGCTCAAGAGTAAACTTTCCTTTTTTAGCTAATTGCTGAATAAACAATATCAATGCTAAGGTAAAGTTTTATTTACCTATAAATTAGAAATCCTTAATAATCTAAATTATGAAGAACTAAATAACATTCAGTACAAACAGATCTTATAGTATTGCTGAAAACTGGCAATCTTATGTAAAGCATATACAAATTTCTTCTATTATAATCTGTCAAATGATTTCCTACCTAATATGGTTTTAATATTTTTCTGTATGTGCAGTTTGTATTCATGAACTTGATTTGAGAGATCTTTTAGTGATTATTATTACTATTATCTAGCATAGTAAGTGGAAAATATTAAGTATTTAAATGCCTATTGAATATATGAATACAAATTATTTTTATTCTTGCTTTCTATTTTTAAATAAAAGAATGCTTGAATGAGATATGAGACACGATGTTGAATATTACTGCTGTGTGGATAGATTCAAAGCAAAATCTTGAGAAAATGAATTGTGTTTTAAATTGCAGAGAGTAATGATTTTATATCTGTAAAAATAAATGTAAAATGTGTACACATTAGTATATATGCTGCTCAAGCAAGCACAGTATGTACACATCAAACCAGGCAATTCTTTTTCAAAAAAAAATGAAAAATATTTAAAAATCTCTAATGTTTCAATGTAAGTTGAGATGAAGATGCACTAATTTTTAGCAATATTTAAGACACTACTGTTTGAAGACGCTGATTTTGAAAGTTGAAAACCTCTAATATTTTAAAAACATTTTTACCAGTCAAACACACCAAAAAAACAAAAGATGTTTAATATGATAAGGAACTGTCTAATTCACATATTAAATTGCTCTATATAGGGAGATTTCACAATCCAGGAGCCATAGCCATGTTGCTGTAAGTAGGATTTCAATAAAGTTTTAGCTTCTTGATATGAGGCAGACATACGCTAGAGAGGAAAAAAAAAATCAAATTGTATCAAATCAGTAGAATTTGATCTCTGAAAAGTAAGTAGCCCTAATATTGCTTCTTTAACTTTACATTTTAAAAATAAATGAAATATTTTTGGATTTACTACACTTTTAGTTTCTAAAGCTAAAAAATTTTCTTCCCAGTACTCCTAAAAGACAATTTTGCTTATTTAACATTTATGTTTATCATTATATTATACATTTTCTTACTGTTGCTTTATATAGGCATAGTTCATTCCAGTGTGCTTTAATTTACTGTGCTTCCCAGATAATACATTTTTAACATATCAAATGTCTATGGTAATCCTGTGTTGAACAAGTCTATTGGTACCATTTTTCCAACAGTATGTGTTCATTTCATGTCTGCACCACATGTTCTTATAATATTTTATTTTCGGTTTTTGTTTTTTTTCTAGTACCGGGAATTGACCTCACAACCTTGAGCTTGCCAGGCAGGCGCTGTGCCATTAAGCTAAATCCCCAGCCCCTGTTCTTATAATATTTTAAACTTTTAAATTATATCTGTTAATACTGACCTATGATCTTTGATGTTACTACTGTAATTGTTTTGAGGTATTATAAACTATATCAATAAAAGATAGTGAATTTAATTGAAAAAGGGCTGCTTGTTTTGACTGCCCCACTGACTGGCTATTTCCTTATCTTTCTCCTTTTCCTTGGGCCTCACTATTCTCTCAGAAATAGTAATACTGAAATCAGTTTTCACTCTAAAATCAGGAACAAGACAAGGATATCCACTACCACCATTCCTATTCAATAGAGTTCTGGAAACACTAGCAAGAGCAATTATACAAGAGAAAAAAAAAGGTATAAAGATAGGAAAGAAAGAAATTATCTTTATTTGCAGATGACATGATACTCTACATAAAAGACCCCCAAAATTTCCATCAAAAGGTTACTAGATTTAATAATCAAATTCAGTAGCACAGCAGAATACACAGACAACACTCAAAAATCACTAGAATTTCTATACACTAATAACTCTCACTGAGAGAGAAATTAGGGAAACAACACCTTTCACAATAGCAGCCAAAAAAGAAATATTTAGGAACTAATCCAATAAAGGAAGTAAAAGACCTTTACAATGAAAACTACAGTACTCTGAAAAACAAGATCAAGAAAATATCAGAAAATGGAAAGATATACCTTGATCTTGGTTGGGTAGGCAGAACCAAAATTCTGAAAATGGCTGTACTTCCAAAACTGTTATACACACTTAATGTAATCCCAAGCAAAATATCAAAAGCATACCTCATAGAAGAGAGAAATCAATCCTAAAATTCTTTTGGAACAAGAAGACACCTGCAATAACAAAGGCAATTCTAGGCAAAAAAGGCATGGCAGGGAACATCACAATTCCCAATTTAAAATTATACTACAAAGCTACCATGATAAAAACAGTATGGTACCACCCCTCCCAAAAAACAGACCCAAGAATAAATGGAACAGAATGGAGATGCAGAAACAATTCCACACATACTCAGCCACATTATCTTTAACAAAGGGGGCCAAATACCTTCACTGAAGATAGCCTCTTTAATAAATGGTACTGAGAAAACTGGCTTTCTACATGCCAAAGATTAAATCTAAATTCATCTCTCTGACCATGCACTAAACTAAAATTGAAATAGATAAAAAATCCAGATATTAAAACGGAAACACTTAATCTGCTGGAAGAAAGAACAGGTAAAACTCTTGAAGATATAGATGCAGGCAAAGACTTTTATGGACAAGACCCCAATGTGGCAGAGGAAATATTACAAAGAACCAACAACTGGGATCTCATCATATTAAAAAGCTTTTTCATGGCAAAAGAAATCACCAACAAAGTGAAGAGACAATCTACAAAATGGGAAAAAATTTTACCAGCTATTCCTTAGACAAAGGACTAATATCTAGAATATATAAAGAACTCAAAAAAACCACCCAAATCCCCAAAATTTAAAGACTCAATCAAAAAATGGGCATCTGAAATGAACAGTTTTCAGATGAAGTAGTATAATTAGCAAATAAATATATGAAATAATGTTCAACATCACTGCTCATTCAAGAAATGCAAATTAAAACAACACTGAGATTCCATCTCTAGAAGGAATGGCTATCATCAAGAAATCAACCAATAACAAATGCTGGTGAGGCTATGGGGGAAAAATGAGCCTTACCCCCCTGCTGGTGAGAGTGTAAATTGGTACAACGACTATGGGGATTCCTCAAAAAGCTAAAACTAGAGACTCCATTTGCTCCAGCTATTCTCCTTCTTGGTATCTTCTCAAAGAGTTGAAAGCATCATACCACAGTAAAATTTGTAATAGCTAAGTCTTGGAAACAGTCCAGATGCCCAACAATAGATAAACAGATAAAGAAAATATGCTTCTTATATACAATGGAGTACTACTCTGCCATAAAGAAGGATAAAGAGACATTTTTAGGCAAATGAATACACCTTGAGATTGTACTTGTGAGCAAGATAAACTGGACACACATTTAAGTATCACATTGCTTCTCTTGTGTGAAACCAACAGCTTAAATAAGGACCAAAATGGACAGACATTGAGAAGTAGAAAGAAAATATTCAAATGAGAAGGAAAGAGAGGGGAAAAGGAAAAAAAGAGAATAAAAGGGAAAAAGTGGAAACAAAGTTTTTGTAAATGAGGAGGGGGTGGTCTTGAAGGTGGGGGAGGGAATGAGTCAAGAGGAATCAAGATATATTATGTACAGGTACAAATTCCCTAGAATGAATGTGATCATCATGTGTATCAAAAGAGTACCAGTAAAATTAATTTTTTTAAAAAGGAGCTTGGAAGAAACTAACACTGATGGATGATTTTGAGAGTTCAAGACTTCAGAGAACAAAGTAATTGTAGATGTGGTAGAAACAGCAAAGGAACTAGAACTAAAATTATAAGTGAAGCCTTAGAATGTGAAGAATTGCTGCAATCTTATACAACTAATGGATGAACAGTTACTCTTATGGATGAGCCAAAAAAAAATTAAGTTATGTACCTTGGTGTTTTTGAAGAGGTAACACTGTTGCACACTTATACTAGACTACAGAACAGTATAAACCTAACCTTTATATGCATTGAGAAACTGAAACTTTTGTGAGACTCACTTTACTTTATCATGTTAGTCTGGAAACAAACCTGTGATACTTCCAAGGTGTACCTGTAGTAAGTTTTGAAACTAAGTAGGGTAAGTATTCCAATCTTTTGTACTTTTTCACAATTATTTTCTCTTTTCTGCTATTTTGGATATTCATATGAATTTTATAATCATTTCATTAATTTCTACACAAAAGCCTGTAGAGATTTTTAGTTTTGCATTAAAGCTATAATTTGGAAATTATAGCATCCTAATACTACTACGTTTTCCAAGCCATAATACAGTACAGCTTCCCATTTATTCAGGTCCTCCTTAGTATCTTTCAGCAATGTTTTTATCATTTTCTGTGTACAGGTCTTATAGTTCTTTTGTTAATGTATTCCTCTCTTTGTGTGTATATTCCTATCTTTGTGTGTATTTGAGATTGTATGCCTGAAGCAATTTTATGTTGGGAGTGCCTGTTCCTAGGATACAGATACACAATTTATTTTTCTATACTATTCTTATACAATGATGTTATTACATTCAAATATGATTTAGTTGCCTGTATTTGGTATCCAAAGGATATTTTACCTACAAAATTACATCATTTTTAGAAAAAAGGAAAATGTTTCTCTTCCCTTCCTGGTATGTATACTTTTTTGCCTCTTTTTCTTGCCTTGATGTATTGCCTAGAATGAACAAGATAATGCGTACAAGTGGTGAGAGCCAACATTCTTGCCTTTTTCCATAATTTTGGCTGGGGAAGAAGAGTATTGAGTCTTTTCTTATTAAGTATAATATCAATGGTAGGTTCTTTGTTGATGGCCTTATGAAACTGGAAGTTCATATTTTTTAGGAAGTTCACTTATTTTTTCAACATATGTATCGCAAATGGGTGTCAGACTTCATCAAATGCATTTTGTGTGTACTTTAAGCTAATTATATGGGTTTTGAAGTTGAATTTATTGCTCTAGTTCCTTATATCAAAGAATTTTCTAATGTCAAATCACTCTTATGTTCTTGGATTAAACCTTGGACATGGAGTATAATCTAACCTTTTTTTAAAAATTCGTTTGTTGCTGGATTTGGTTTGTTAAATCTTGTTAAAAATTTTCACATTTATTTTTTTCAAAGATACTGATTTTAAGTTTCCATTTTCTGTGACGATTTTGTCCAGTTTTGATAACAGAGTAATGCTGGCCTTCTAATGGCCTTCTAATGAGTTGAAAGAACTTTTTATTTGTACTATGTTTGTTTATGTTTGGTAGAACTCATCAGTGATGCCATTTATGTACCTGGTATTTTATTTTGCATAAGTAATTTTAATAGTTCAATTTTTCTAACTGATCAAATTACATTTGGATGATCTATTTTTTGAGTCAGGTTTTGTTATGTCTTTCTATGCAACATCCATTTAATTAGTCTAATGCATTAACAAAAGGTTTTTGGTGCAACAGTTATTTTAGCTTCTTGAGGGTCTGGAGTAAGGACTCTCTCATTTCAGATTTTGATAATTTTTGTTATCTCATTTTTTTCTTGGTTAGTCTAGATTGTTATTAATCAAGTTTGTTGACTTTTTAAAATGAGGAAACTTTTGATTTCACTGATCTTTTTTAATTTTTTGAGAGAGGGTCTTGCTTTGTAGTTCAGGCTGGCCTTGAACTCACAATATGCAGCTCAGGCTCTCCTCAGACTAGTGTTGATCTACCTGCCTCACCCTCCTGAGTACTGGGATTATAGGTGTGGGTCACCACATCCTACATCTTGTCCAGTTTTATAATTACCCACATATTATTAATTATAAAAGATCACCTAGATAATTTTTGGTTTTGGTGTCATAAAGAGGTTGGAAATCTCTATAATAAAGTTTTAATATTTAAAAATGCATATATAAACACCTATAGTTAATATAACTGCCTTATAGATTAGAATTAAAGTTTAAACATTAAGACATTTGCAAAATTAAGCAACTTTCATAAAATGCTATATTAGAATTAGTTTATAAGAACAATTTATATGTAATATTCAGTAATAACATTAAATATGTGAATGTCACATTTAATTAAAAAGATTAAAAACATACAGTAGATCTTAATGTTTTAAAATATATGCAAAAATATATATACATTAAGCTGAAATAATATGCTCATGTTAAAAGATAATTACCTTTGTCTACTATATATTTGGGTGTTTTTTTTGGTGCCAGGAATTGTGTGTCTACCTTCTTCTAAACTTTTCACTTGAAAGATATGTTTGTATGAAAACAGAAACACTTTGCAGATAAGAAGCTATCTATATCACCTATTAAATCAGGTCCAGTTTAAATGCTGGAATTAAAACTTTTCAACAACTTTAAGATAGGAAAATTAATTTTTGTTAACTATTGTTTTAGGATACTTACTATTCTACATTTTACACAATGTTATACAGGCAAAAAAATTTATTACCATTTTGTTTCTCCAGGTTTGACATAGAAGCTTTGGACAATGTTATCAGAATAAGTGTATATCACCCAAAGGTGGCTACTTTAAGCAGCAACACTTACTTACATATTCAATTTCTAGCATATTCATTTAAAAATTAATTGTGCTATTACATGGTAGTATTGTATATTCAAGAACTATTCTGTAAACGTTTGCTCTGTAAAGTCAACATAAATTACCACAACATTGTCTATTTTTATTACTGTGATCAACTTTGTTCTTTAAGGGCCTTACCTTAGCTGCATGATATGTATTTGCTTTAAATAAATCATCTCTTTTGGCTTCCTTGGCAAGCAGATTAAATCTACTTAACATTGCAGCCTTACAGAGCCGACTTGCCATTGACACACCACTTTTAAATGGAGAACTAAAGTAGAGAGGAATGGAACACTCATTAACCATTATTTAATGATTTATATGGCAATTGTAAGGGTTAAATTCAAAGTCTAAAATATTTATGTATCTCATTTATGTACAAGGCAAGTAGTGAAACTTTTGTTATATAAAAATCATCTTAAACATTTAATTACTGTCTAGAGCTAATTTATCCTAAATTACAGTTTATTACTATAGTAATACATCAAAAATTAATATACAAGACTGATAGTTGGTTAGTTGCTTTTTTAACACAAAATTAACCTACAGTGATACCAATTAATGGAAATATTTTTTAGGATGATAAAAATGTGATGATATACTTTGACAGTGGTGATGGTTACATGGGTATATACATAAATGAATTTCTCATGCAATGGTACAGTACTTTTTCTGCAATCAAATTTTACTTTAATACAGAAGTAACATAGATACATACCTACTTCAAAGCCCTCCAGTTAAATGTACATATAGATGTATATACCTGTACATATATATATATTTTTTCAGTCCTGGGGATTGAATCTTTCACTGAGTTACCTCCCCACCCCTTTAAAAAATTTTCTTTAGAGAGGGTCTTGCTAAGTAAGTCATTAAGTTGCCCAAGCCAGGCTCAAACTTATGATCCCTCTGCCTTAGCTCCCAGAGTACTTAGCTTACAAGTACAGACCACCGTGCCTGGCTCCCTTTCCCTTGAATTTCTAATTTATTTATTCTTTCATTATGCTTCATTTACTTCCATGATTTATTAGTATAAAATTTAAGGCTGACTTTTCAATTTGCTTTAACTATGTCCTATAAGTTCTGATAGGCAATATTTTCAACATCCTTGTTTTCTAAATATTCTATAATTTCAGTTTACATTTCTCCTTTGAAACAGAATTCAGAGAACTTTTTCTGCAGTGAAAGCAGCTTCTAGCTACTGAAGTATTCTTCTTTGCCTTATTGGAATCCTTTGGAGGATGGATATTATAATTATACCTTATCTAATATTTTGATTACACCTCCTGCTTTCTTTTTTGTTTGTATTTACTTAGCAGATATTTGGTCATAAAAAAATGGTACAGCTATTTCACATTTATTAAGTTCATCTTTATTATGCCATTCTTTTATGTCTTTAGCAAACAGCTTTTAAATGTCTTTCATTGAAAATATATTTTGTTTATAGGTGTTGCCAAGTCTGATATATGATCTAAAGCTCAAATAGTATACCATCCTAGTTGAAATAATTATCATTCTGCTTGACTAAGTTCAATAAGAAAAAGTTGTACATGGCCTTAATCCAATCCTGTCCTTCACTGAGAAAGCAATTTTAAAGCATTTAAATGTTTAACATTATTCCTTACTTCATTATAAATGTATATTTATACTAAAAAAAGTTTTAGTTTTTACTTGATAATAAGTCACATAGATATTTGAAAATTGTCTAAAAGGGATAGAGCATTGTGTTAGGAGCAAGGCCTTTGGATATAAAATGTCCAGATCAGAATCGCAGATTCTGATAGAGTCCTTCAGTATTTGTGTGACCTTAGGCAACATATCTAATCTACCCTGAACCTCAGTTTATCTGTAAAAGAAAATAAATACTACCCAGTGTACAGATTTATTACATAAGAAGGCAGTATAACATGGTATAGCAGTTCTTACACTAAGTATATCCAAGTAGTCTTGGGGAGGGCGAGTAAAAATTCAGATTCCCAAGGCCAAATCTCCAGCAATTCAGTTTCAGTAGAAGAAATTGAATTTTTAGAATGAATTGTGCAATTCTAATGCTACTGGTCACAAAGTGACACTTGGAAAAACACTGATCCTGCAGCCAGATTCTGTGGGTTTGAATGCTGATTTCTCTACTTTCTATGTAACTTCACTAAGCTATGTAACTTCTCTAGGCCTGTATTCTTACCAGAAAATGTTTTAGTTAGTATGACATCTGCAACATAATTGCCTAATCAATTAAGAATTATTGTTTAGAACTCAACAGCATCCAAAAAAGAATAACATTGTGATAAAATGCCTTCTTCTGCTTAATATATAATTTTTAAATAAATTAGTAATTCAAACCTTTCAGTGATCTTCCCACTTAGGCCATCCACAATCTCCAAAGAAAGGTCCCCTTGTGCCCAGTTCATACTCAGAGACTTATATTCCAAATCCATTTGAAATGGATAAGCAGAGGGCACTAAGCTAATATGAGGCCTGTTGACTAAGTAAAACATTGGAAGTCTTGAAGTGAGTGCATCATCAACACGTTGCTTTATCGCAATTTCTAAGCCTCTAGTATCACTGCAATTCCTATCACCTAGAAAAAAAAAACCAGAAACTCAGTATCAAAAGAAAAGACAATATCAAAAATAAACGGAAACAAAAACTGGAAATATCCAAAGCCCATTTCTCTATCCTGTATTCAACCTTTTCTTTCTTTCTGCTACTTCCATATTTTTTATTAGAACCAAGACAGGATGACAGAATGTTCATTAAAAAAAAAATTCCTTTTAGTGATACAGAAAATTTTCAGTGTAGTAAGTAAAAGCAAAGGGTCAGTGTTGGCCCAGAAAGAAACTGGTACTTTTTGCATGGCTCCACCAGATAGAATCAGCTCATTCTATCTGATTATTTCTGATGACCATATGAAATCTGCACCTAAGGCAGCATATAAATATGACTGGGAAATGGTTGGAAGTGAATTATTTTTTCAAGTCTACTGGCAATATACTACAAATGTTCCAGTACCACAGTGTTCTGATTTCACAACAAAAAGCAATTCTGAGAATGACCACTCTGGTTAAAATTGTGCCCAACACTAAACACTTTTTATTCTCAGTTGCAACTGTTGAAGAAGAGATCTCAAAAAGATATAATGTCATTAATATAAAATAGTAAACTGCATCAAACTTAAAATAGAAATCAGGGAGTGTTCTTTTCTATTTAAAATATTTTTTGAGGCTATCTTTTTCTCCCTAAGGCCAGAAATTCTTGCAACAGTATATGCGTGTACATTTATTTATAAATATAATAAAATCACATGTGTGCATATACATGTTTTACAGATAAAGTTTTATTTATCCACCAGTGTAATTGTTGAGATGGTTATCAAAACTTACGCTCATTATAACTGTCTGGGCATTAGAATATGATTCTAAAAGTAAATGTGCTGCTTCTGACATTCTGTTTGCTAAGCTTTCTTTTGTTCCAAATCAAGAGGAATTGATATACTTGGACACAGCAAAAGAGTCAGACAAAATATCTGAGGAATAGTTATTGTATCACTAATGAATAGAAGACAAGGATTCAAAAATGCAATCATTTTACACTGCAGTGATGCCAGTTAAGCCTAAGAAATATTAGGAAAAAGAAAAAATGTTAAAGCTCAAGCTCTTCATAAGACTCTTTAAGCACCAAATTGTTTCACTTAGATGTTTTAATGTGAAGTGTAAAAGCTACCTTGATAGAAAAAAAATCAAATCTATTCATATTAAAAATGTTACTTTTCTCCGTCACATATAAATGCTTCTAATGATTGACTATATCTAGAGTATGATTTTGATTATATTTTGAAGGTAGGGAATTGCAAGATCAATCTATAGAATACACACATAAACTTGTGAAACAAATGTAAGAGCACTGAAACATTGAGGGTAAATCTTGTCCCTGGAGAAATACATCTCTAAACTTATACAATTGGGAAATTTTTATTTGATTTATTCAAAATTATTTAAAATAAATTTACAATGAAAGGTTTAACCTAATCCAAGACTACTGATACCTGACAGCAGCTTATAGAGGAAAAAGGTATCATAAATAACAGTATTAAGTTACTGATTGGATATGACTTCAAACTCTGTCAATAAGCAAACTGAAGGACTGTGGGCAAACATTTCATTAATATTCTGAACCTTATATTACTGTTCAGAAAAAAAAGCCAAAATTGAGTAACAATTTCTAAATTTATCAACTGATTCATAAATGCTCAAGATCACTGTTTAAAGTAGATTCCTTTACTGTAAGAGACTTCACAGTTAGCATTCTTTACAACTGTACTTTCAATCAGTACAGAAAGGGACTTCTGGATGCAAATACCTGTCTCTGGACAAGTAGTGATATGTATTGAGAGAGATGAACTTATTCCTTAAAATGTACCTTAAAAAGCTTGAAAACAAATATAAATCAAGGAATTTTCAATACCCATGTTAAGCAAAAAGTTTTTATAGATTATTCTTCATCATTTTATACTCAAGAAAGTTCTGTTTTAACATAAACTTAGACTTCATGTTATATTTTATTATTATTATTATTATTATTATTATTATTATTGGTAGTAGTAGTAGTAGTAGTTGTAGAGATTAAATGCAGGGCTATGTTACTTACTGTTCTCATTGCTGAGACAAAATAGATTGTTTTAGCTACACAAGTAATGCTCTTAATATACAGACACGTTATGAGAATTGCTCAACATGATATAACTATTTATATCAGAATCACCTGGTAGTCTTCTTTTAAAAATATACATTTTAGGGCCTCATATATCCTGTTTCTCCAAATAGAAATCATAAGATGTACAGAAATCCATATTTTTCACACTCAGAGACATTAAAATGTACTTAGGTAATACTCGACAGATTACTAATAATTAGCTTCAGGAAGAAAAAGTATTTTTTCCAAAGAGAACTATTTTTATTGCTACATGGTGCTCTAATATTGTTAGTGCAAGATGACAAAATGATCAGCTCTAAGCTTTAAACCCTTGTTCTGAACCACTAACAGAGAAAGAAACTGTTAAGAAAATACTATAACATGGAGTTACATCATACAAATGACAAATTGATAATGTCTTTTTTCACAAATATCAAACTGTTGAAGACACAAGCATAGGCAAGGACTTCCTGAATTTAAGAACACAAAACCTAATACCAAGAATCAACAGATGGGATTATGTCAAATTAAAAAGCTTCTCCACAGCAAAAGAAACAATCAATGGAGTGAAGAGATGACCTATAGAATCAGAAAAAATTCTGCCAGTGACTTCTCAGATAGAACTATAATTGCTAGGATATATAAAGAACTAAAAAAAGATACAATCAAAAATGGGCAAATGAAAATGAATATAGACACTTCTCAGAAGAAGTAAAAGTGAACAGTAAGTACGTGAAAAAACATTCAACATCTGTAGCCATGTGAGAAATAAAAATCAAAACAACACTGAGATTTTATCTTACTCTAGTCACCATGGATACTATCAAGAACTCAAAAAACAACAAGTGCTGATGAGGTTGTAAGGGAAAAGGAGCCCTTCTATATTGTTGCAGAACTAGTACAACCACAATGGAAATCTGCATGGAGAGTCCTTAATAAAACACTACAAATAGAAATTCTATTTGATCCATTTATACCACTTTTGGATATCACTCCAAAAGAGTTAAAGGCATCATGTTACAATGATACATACCCATGTTTATAGTGGGAAACTTCACCTTTGCTAAATCATGGTAGTAGCCTACATGTTCATTAACAGATGAAGAAAATATATATGATATATTATCATATTTTCTTTATATATATACACATAATAGAATACTCACTACTCAGGCATACAGGATAAATTTGATTCATCTGTAGGACAATGGATGGATATAGAAGTTTAAATACTGCATGGTTTCTCTAATGTAGGAGAAACAAAATATACATAATTTAAAGAGAAAAAAGAAAGATGGTAGGAAAAAAAGGGAAGTAGATTCTGTGGAGCAGGGAAGGCAGTCTGGGGAAGGAGAGAGAGGCAAGGGTGGTGAGGAGGAGGAGTGAGCTCAAGGTCAGGTTAAACTGCATAGCGAGACCCTGTCTCAAGTACACAAACACACAAAAAGAAAAAGAAACCATAGGGTGGAATTACATCATAATAATGTAATGACAAATTGTAGATATCTTTTCACAAAGTCAAAGAAAGCTTTCCTTACCAAAGCTATGATTTTAGAAAATCATAGACATATGTTAGTTACATTTATTAAGAACAAAAAAGAAGAAGTTGGAAAAGTTTGAAGTATCTTGAGACAATCTGTACTGGTTAAAAGCAAAAATAGTGAACAAGAACTTTAGTAACCAAATTAAATCTTTTAAAAACTGAGCCAGTGGTTCTTCATTAATAACAGCATTTGAAAAAAGCAGAGTAGGAAACAGTCTCTTTTGAAGGTATATTATAAAATCTAAAAAAAGATTGAAAAGCTGAATATAAAAAAGAATACAGAAGAACATATACATCAATATCTATATTTCTACAAGCAAAACCTAACTACTAATGTAAATAAAAGCACAAAACTAATAAGGTATGCTTCCATAGAGGTCAAATGGGTGCCTGGGGCACTATGATGGGAGGGAGACTCTTCACTGGCTATGCTCTTTTCAGTCTTTTGAATTATGATTCAAGTAAATATGTCCTATGTAAGTAAAATTAGTCTAACATTAGAAAAATAAATAATAACCATTTTTCTTTTCATAATACCTGTATGTATAGGGAGCAGGAAAAAATAATACCAATAAGAGAAATTCCTAAGAGATTGGTATAAAATATACAGAACAAAGCAGAACAAAAACAAAAAAAAAATCCAAAATAGCACTAAAAAAATATTACCAAATAAGGATCTAAAGTTTGTCCATGGATTCATTTCAAAATTAACAATAAGACCAGGGATATAACTCAGTGGCACAGCACCTGCCTGGCAAGTATGAGGTCATGACTTCAATTCCCGGTACAAAAAAAAGAAAAACAAATCTGAAAGGAAAATTAACAATAAGCAAAAAAACCCAAGTGATAGTAAATTATTTCACCAAGGTCATGGGAAAATTACAGAAACAATCCCAAAACTATTAATGAGATAACATCTGGAGGACTATCCAAATATAAATCCAGCATTCTCAAACATCCCCTCTATAAAAGAAATGTAAATTAGTAACTTATGTATTTATTTTGCATTCTACTTACTTCATACTCATTGTACTAATTAAAAGCAAAAAAAAAAAAAATAAAGATAGCAAAGAACCAAAACAAGCATTTAACATTTTCCATACTTCAAAAAGAGGAGTACATACAGTACAGTATAAGCTTTTAGATTTAAGAAGTTCAAGAAAGCATCTTCACCCCAAAGAAAGGGGAGAGTGAAGAGACACTGTGCAAACAAAAGTTCAAGATAGAATACACCTAGCTGGTTAAGTTGGAATATTAATTCTTCACACCTTGATAAAATGGCAAAAGTTATATTGTACTAAGTGTGATTACAAGTTACCACAAGACAAACAGCTTCACCAGTGGACTTTTTTCACATGCATTAAAAAACAGTGGTTTTGACTTTGAAGTTTCATGTATGCGAAAACCATTATTAAACTGACAGTCTGAGAATTTACTGAAAGGTGCCAGGAGGTACTGAAATCCCACTTACCAACAAGTATATTGCTGATGTAAACTGGCTGTATAAAGTGACTCAGCAATGCTCCCTGTACACCAAGAACTTGCCATCTTGTCAACTTGTCGCTTGAGGACATACTGTTCACTCTATTAACAATATCTGCAGGGGAGTAAACAGTCAGATAAATTTTGCCTCCAACAGCCACATGGAGACTCAGTTCTTCATTGGCTTCAAATGCAGATATAGAATTTGGATTAAGACGCCTAGAGAAAGAAAAAAAGTTTTTTTCTTTTAAAAAATATAATTGATGATACATGTACCTACTACTGTTTTCTACAATGTTTAATATCTTAGTACAGTATACATTTAACTCCAGTAACACAAACAGATACAAACATAAAGCAAAGTAGGATGGATTGACTATTCCATACATGGACAAAGCACAGAAAGTAATCATATTTAGATCTTCAGCATAGATAATTTCACTATTTTATCAATGTTTAGTCCCTTAAAAATCAAATGAAAAATTCATTTTGTCCTTATCATAATTTGTAAATTATTTCCCTTCTCTGTGAAATTCTTTAAAACTATAAAATGGAAAAAAAGAAAACTAGCAGTTTTTATTCAATATTCACCCCCAAAAAATGTTAAAACAATAAAATCTAAAATTATTTTTCCTGAAATTTCTTTCTAGGGAATATGTCCTTATTTTTGAAAATATTATTAGACAGATTTTAATAAAAATAGTACCCATGGTTCCCTCTAATGGTCAGATTTGAGGTGAATTTTACTTTCTTCTTTGTGCTTGTCTGTACTATTTAAATTTTATATTACATAATACTATCTATTCCTCTAAACAATGAAATTTTGATTGTAAATATGAATAGTGCATACAGGAACACTTTCCTAAAGTTTGTGAAGTCTTAATAGTATAAAGGAGCAACAGCATAGAAGAAAAAAGAGGTATAGTATGTGGAATTTTTAAAGAAGTAGTCATAGATCACATTGAGTAGAGTGCAAGGCTAAAGGATCTGTGGTGCCCTACAGGCTATGAATAACAACTCACAACTGAGGGAAGAATTTAGATACATATAAATGTTTTATTCTATTTGCTACCAGGATTTAGGATATATGCGATGACCAGCCTGTTACCTTTAAAAACACCTTCTGTAATACTTACAACAGTGACTTAATCTGGGCTGATCCTTTAGGCAACTGGTTCATATAGAGGTAAATGTTGATATCTTGTTTCAGAGTAAGGAGATCAGAAGCTGGTTCTGTACAAAATATTGATTTTTCCATCATGATAGGATTTTTGCTATAGAAGAGTAGAAGCTGTCTATAAAAGTACCTAAAATAAATGTTGTAACACAATTAACAAAACCTATTAAATGTATCTTAATGGGCATCATACTCATGTGTCATAAGCAATGTCTACGTATATGTAAAAAATTTAACATTAATGAGAACTCATGAAATAATATAGGTTTATTCAATAAATATTCACATTTTTTAAGAAGTCCTCAGCTGGAGGCCCATCTTCCCTTAAGACCTGTCTTAAGACACCACTTCTTGACTACTATTCCATTTCTCTCTGGTTCATCCCTTCTTCCTCAGGTAGTTGTACTCCCAGCCTCCCAGGTATAAAGCCAACTTTTGCCTTAATTTTATGCTGCCTCCTCATCCAAGCAAATAAATTGCCACTAATACTTTAACAAAAAACTCATCATCATCATCAACAGTGGCTCCAGTTTCTTAGTGGTTTTAAAGAAAAAGACCAAAAATGCATGGAAAAAATATAATAAACACAAATTTTATAAGAAGTGAAGCAGATCTCTTGAAAGACGATGACTAATTAATTCACAGACAAATACTGCTTTGCTTAAAGAAAACATGACTTTAACATGTACTCTGTTCATTCTCATCAAAAATAGGCAATAAATTAAGTACCAATATATAAATGTGCTGAACACTGGAAGAACTGTACAAAGGAGGTAGCTTTAGAGAAGTCAAACAATTCTATCAGTATGAAGGAGGATGGGAAGAAAATGAATACAGGTACAGATCCCTCCAATAGCTTCTTTAAAGGATTCTTTCCTTATTATCAGAGACACACACTCACACTTTTCAGATAAAATGTCAAAACTTGTTTTTAAATACTCCAACAAAGAGAACATTAACAACAAAAAGTGGCAATACAGAGATTAAACAAAAAGAGCAGAATGCTGATAACTATTGAAGCCGGATGATGAAATTTATTATCCAATTCCAATTTGCATTTGAAAATTTCCATAATAAGGATGATAAAAAGAAAGCTCAATGGCTTAACAGAACCAAAAGCAAGTGGATATTGTAGTAGGTAACATTTACTTCCCACAGTTTATATTTTCATATGGAGGGACTGCCAAAGAGTAACATTCCTATTTTTCTCCTAATTGCTGTTAGTTCCTCTTGCAGAAGGCAGAGTCACTGATGAGCTTACAGAAACTGACGAGGCATGCTTACTTCAGCCCTTTTTCTTCTCTTTGATACCTGTCAGACTAAACAATATCTTATTGACCCTCTGCTATATGATAAACCATACCCATGGGCATCACATATGGAAACTTGAGTGTTTCTAATGCTGTCCTTGGATAACTATATCTAATTCAGAAGTGAAATATGATAAAGCTTACCTGGTATAAATCTAAAGCTATTCTTTCCAATAACTTTAACCACTAAAAAAAGATGTTATCTGCATCTTGAACAAAACTGTAGGCCTTTTAGAACGTAATTTACAAGCAGTTAGTGGAAGGCATTACTATTCACACAGTAGACACTGCAGTTACTACAATGTTTCCAAAGGTAACATGAAATAATTGGATGAACTGGATAAACAAAAGACTGTGACATCCTTGGTTTAAGAAATTGTATAATTCCATTTGTAAATAAAACCATTTATATGTGGTTACTTTGGATTGGAAGCATTACTAATTGGTGACATTAAATACACTTGTTACCCTACCTAAGGAGGGACCTTCTCGCTGTAATAACACCATGAGTGTCATGTAGCACTCTTCCATTTGGCTTAATGCACTGGCTGCAATTGTATTCACCTGTGCCCACAGCTACAACTTCATGATGTCCAGCTGGAAAAAAAAAAAATGTAAGCAGTAGCAAGTTGTTATAACTCTCTTTCTTATGTTTTAATCCCACTATCCCATCATTTTTAATTGGGTGACATGTCTTGATCAAAACAATTCCACAATTTCAAATAAATTATTTCAAGAACCAAAATTTTAAAAGTAGTATCCCAATTAAAAAGGCAAGCTATCTTATACACTGGCGCTTTATCTAAATTTTTAATACAATCAACAGAATCAGCATATATCCTTAGTTTTTAAATACATAACTATTTCTTACACTTTTAGATTTATCTGACCTTCTGACAGATTTCAATAAGACATGCCCTTATGAATCTTCTAGCAGGAGAGACAGAAAAAAAGACTAAACAGCCAATGTGGTGATTCTCGCCTGCAATTCCAGCACTCAGGAGGGTGAGGCAGGAGGACTGCCATGAGTTTGAGGCCAGCCAGGGCTATATAGGGAGACCCTATCTCAAAAAACAAAAATAAACAACAAAAAACAGCAAAAAAGACTAAACAAACCCTACATTTTGATAAGTGCTTTGAAAAAAAACCCCTATGTAATATGGAGAATGAAAACAGGTTAATTTATGTGTATCAGTTCCAGAATTTTTTGCCTAATAAGCTGAAATTAAATTACAACGTGAGGAATGGGAAGCATGAAGAATTTAAGATGCAACAGGAAGAGTCAGCAACACCAAAAGTAAAGGAAAGCACATCCCAGCCAAAAGAAGCAGCATAAGCAGAGTAAACAGAGAAACCAGTACAGCCGCCCCAGTTAAGTGGAATGAAAGAGTTGGTTTTAGATGAGGTTAAAGAAGGAAAATTACATATCCTGACTAGGAGTTTGTGGATTTCAATCAAGTGCTGTGGGAAAGCTACTGTAGGTATGGGAGCAAAAAACACTTAAAGAGTTACAGTTCAGTATCAGTTCTTTCTTCATAGCGAAGGAAAATAACAACAAAATGAAAAAGTAACCAATGGAATGGGAGAAATTCATCTGCAAATCCTTTATTTAGTAAGTTTAATATCCCACAACTTAATAGTTTAAAAAGATTAAAAATGGGCAAAGGGCATAAAAAGATATTTTACAAGTAGAAACAAATAGGGTATTGGTGAAAAGGTGTTCATCATCATTCATTATCAGAGAAATGTCAATCAAAACCACACTCAAAAGGCTGAGGCAAGAGGATCACCAGTTTGTACTCAGCCTGTGTAACTTAATGATATAGTGAGACTATCTCAAAATAAAAAATAAAGTAAGGCTTGAGGATGTAGCTCAGTGTGAAGACCCTGAATTTAATCCCTAGTATCACAAAAAGAAAAAAATAAACTGATATATGTAGTTATACATGTATGTATGTATATATGTCAATTTATATACATACTCTCACATATATATTCATGAGTATCTCACATTACATATAGATATGCATATAATGGTATACTCCTTAGACTTTAAAAAGAAATCATGCAATTTCCAACAACATTGATAAACATGAATGGTGGTATGCTAAATGAAATAAGCCAGACACAGAATGCAGATATTGTATGACCTTACTTATATGCAGAATCTATAAAATCAAATACAGATTAAAAGAGGGGTTACTAGTGGTTAGAAAGTGGGAAAACTGGAGAGAGGGTTAAAGGGATTAAACTGGCAGTTATAAGTTCTGGAGCCCTGATATACAACATGGTGACTACAGTTACTAATACACTGTAGTCCTAAAATTCATAGCCAATATTGTGGAGGGGGTAGGGTGAACAGTAGGTAAGCTAGGAGAGTACTGGTGTGATACAAAAAGGTATAGCAAAACTTTGATTTTTTTGGAAAATTGAATAAATAGAGAACAAAATCCACTCACTGCATTGCATACCGTGCAGTTACTGGGTAGTGTTGACAAGAGCAATTTCCAAGTAGAAGAAATAAACAACTAAATTGGAGTAAAGAGGGGGCACAGTGCCTGTACACAATTTCTTGATGAAGTTTGGCCACTAAATCAAGTAAATAACAACTATGGATTTACACTGGAGGGTACTAAGAATTGAAAGGAAGTTTTTTTTTTTTTAAGATAGAAGTTTGGGAAGCCAGGCTTTACAGGCTACTAGAAAAATGATAGCAAATACATATTACTCAGGGACACCTAAGCACAGATTCAGCTTTCATCTCTCTGATAGAGATGTGGTCCTGAGAAGGCTGAACCTGACTCAATAACCAGGTGTCTAAGCCTCCCTTTATGCAGAATGATACAGTGTCAGGGTAAATTCTGGAATTAAATAGTGATGTAAGCACTGAGTTTTAAGGGGAAATCTTATAGCAAGAACTCAGCTTTCGCAACTGTTATTTGATCTGCAATGCTTCGGTGGGATATTTAAATTTAATAATACAGGAAAAAGAGAAAATAATCAAAATAAATTCATCAGGATGTGAGAGAGAATAGAATTGGAACTTAAGTGAAAGAATTAAACTATAAAGGGACATCCACCCTCCACTGTTACAGTAGAGAAGAATACAAATACAGGAAAACACATAGACTGCTGGTGAAGCAGAGAGAGACAGAAGGGCATTCAGATTTGATGATTTCTTACAGACCCAATTAAAAATGGTGAGGGAAGATAATAAGAGCTAATAATATATTTTAAATATGTATTGACTGTGTTACTCCAAGAATGTTTATATGACTTTACTCAGGGTATCCCAGGCCACATTCATGCTCACAATTTATAAAACCATGTATATTATTCTTAGTCATGTTCTTTTCCATCTAACCTCAAACCAGCTTCTAGAATCTCTATGTGTACACAAATACTACTCAATATAACCTTTATTTTTTTATTATTTTTTTTCTTTGTTTTTTTTTTTCCAGTACCGGGAATCAAACTCACGACCTTGCGCTTGCCAGGCAGGCACTGTGCCACTGAGCTAAATACCCAGCCCTCAATACAAACTTTAAATGATGCTATTACTTTTACTTATCTCTTATCATCTCATTCACTTTCACCTTCATTTTATATCAATTTTTTTAAAATATAATTTTTTTCCTTTCTGTTTATGTTCATCTAAAGTCTCTAAGTAATTCACCAAAACCACCTAAATGGTGACTTTAATTTGGTTCCAACTACTATAATCTTTTAAAAAATTATTTGCTATCAACTGTTACTTAAAAATTAACTTACCTTAATCAAGACAGACATAATTTATTAAATTTTTACTAAACTCTCCAAGTACTGTGCTACTTACTTTAGTTTAATGCATTTAATTCTATAAATCCCATGACATAGGGGTTATTATTTTTACTACTATAGTTTTAAAAATGGAGAAGAAAATTGAAGCACAGACACATTGAGTACGTAAACAGCACAAGTAATTTAAATTGCAGAGTTGTCTGATGCTCATGTTCCAACAATTATAACACACTGCCTTCCCTGTTTGAAATCTTTCAGATTATTATCAATCTTATTAAACATAATTTTTGACTGGCTATTAAGGCATATTGTAATCTGCTACCATTTTATCAATCTAACTATATTTTCACTGCTCCTGCAAATACACTATGGTGTATTAGTAATAAGTTCATCTCCTTAATGTCCCCAAAATAGTTTTACACTACTCTTTTTTTATGCCTTCCTTTCTCCAAAAACATTTTCCTTTTCTCTATATACTAAAGCTTTATTAATACTTAAAATTTCAGCATAAGTCTCATCTGTTTCAGAAGACTTAAACCCTATTATTTTTCTGCTGTCTGTGAATTTTCATGTATTTCTGCATTAAGTAAAAATGTTTTGCATTTATCATCTGCTAGAAAAGAGTCACTTCAAATCAGTACATCATTGTCAACAGAAGAAAAGATAGTTAACAAAAATATTACTATGTTATAGTTCAGATCATTCAGATTCTAATTTTTGTACCAACAAATCCCAAATAGTTGGACTTACCTCTTTCAATAATAAAAGCAGCCAATGAATTGCTACATTTCAGATATTGTGACTGATTAGAAATTAGTTGATTAAATGTTTCTTTAACAATCTGTGAGATCTTGGAATACTGTGTATGTCTCCCATCTAGAAGAAAAATCAAAAAAGCAATATGAATTTGAACAACACTGTAACTTTTCCAGAGATGTCTTATTATTAAAAACTTACAATAAATTAATGATTTATAGATATGTAAGCAAATTTTTAAATTATGTCATGAATAAGCATTTAAAGTATTCAATTTTAAAGTATTCAAGTAAAAGAAAACAAGCTATTGAGCTTTTTTGATTATTTAAAAAGATATATAAATATTATACATTATTGCTAAAGGACTACTGATTTATATTTATTGAATTTAGTCTGACAAGATACTCAAAACTCAAGAGACAAAAGGCATAGACTATTGCATAGACTGTCCCACAAACTGCAAGATGACCAACATCCCAACGAATGTCAGTAATTTCCCCAATCATTGTGACAGTCAAAGTACATTCCCTTAGTATTTGTCCCACTGAAAACCACTGCAAACTATTAAGCATTTAGACTCCTTGTACAGTTTCATGTTCCCTGTTAAAACCCTTAATTATGAAAGAGCATTAAAATAGTTCTAAATAACTAGGATTGCCAGTTAATAATTTAATGGTTTGCAGGGGCTTTTGGAATGTCATTGAATCATGGGGACCATATAGCTGACTTGCTGTTAGGTGGTGAGCTCTCATTAGGAAGATGTGGGTCACTGGCGGCAGGATGTGGAAAGGTGCACCTCCCTCCCCAGCTCCTCTCTTCTCTCTCTGCTTCCTCATGCCATGAAGTAAGCAGCATTCTTTTGCTATCCCATCTGCCATGCTGTTCTGCCCTGGGGCCAGCTGACTGTGAACTAAACTGTGAGCCTCAGATTTTGTTATCAGGTATTGTGTCTCAGAAAAGGGACTAAGACAGTTTATAACCAAGAATACACAACAAAAGATGCCCATAAAGTTTTTTTGTTTTTTAGATAAGGGGAGCCACTTGAGATTGATGAGTAGGGCTCCGGTAATCTAGTTATACCTAACTACTGGTGGACTCTGTGTTTTGAATGTGCTTATTTTTCATGGTCTGATCCATTAGGTCCATGTAAGCATGAAAATGTACAGGGCCTTTTTCTTTTTCTCAGAAAGATAAGACCAAGGTTGAATCGGCACAAACTTTTCAAATCTTAACCTGCAGGCCTGGAAAATGAAAGGAAGAATGCCTCTTCTTTATTTTACAAATACCCATATCTTTAAAGTCTGAAGTGTTTCTAATACACTGTCAACGTAGAAATTAAGAATAATTTTCTGTATTTCACAAAATTAATAGCTTAATGGGAAAAGGATGTAACTACCATACAATATCGAATGCGGTGAGATTGTAATAAAATATGAAAGTTACATGTGCTCTGTGACAGTCACTGAGATAAGTAGTTTACATGTACAAATTCATTTAATCCCTGCAATAAGGGACTTATTGAAATGGTCATTTTACAAATGAGGCAATTAAGGTGCACAGGGGAGCAAGTGGGCCTACCTCATATAACTAGTAATGTAAACTGATATTTTCCCCTTCTTGGGCTTGGACAGCTAACAACTGCCATTAAAAGAACATGAATAGATTATCTGAAATGAATATTCCCAATAACCATGAAGCACCAGGAAATACGACCACAAAAGCAAAGCATTCTCATAAAAGCACTTAAAATTTATGAAAGGTCATGAAATTGAAGCTTCTTATAAAAAGAAACTGCTTCCTTTAATTTTTCCTCTCCATTCCTTGTTTCCCTTACTTTTTAGCAAAGCATAGGGGGAAATTTACCTTTCCAAGTGTGAAAAGTTTGAATGATAAAATGTCAGAGTATATTTTCATACTTATGCATATTTTAATTATACTTTTAATGAGGTTAATTATGTACGAATGAATATTTCAAGGATTTTCCTACCATAATGTACTTTAGAAACATATGCTGGTTCAGGTACAGCAACAGGTTCTGCAGGGATAGGAGGAGGACCTATAAACAATAACAAACATTAGGAAACATGAAACTTTATAATACCAAAAATGTGGTACTTTACTAAACCAATAAATTATATTTCTGTGCATTTTTGCCAACTCTAAATCATCAAACACTCCTTAGCTCAGTGTTGCTTTCTCGCCACAATCTAAAACTAAATACCCAGCACCCACAACTTGAGAAGAGAGGTTTATTTTGGCTCACGAGATTTTTGAAGATTCAGTCCATAGTCAGCAGGCTCCAAAGCAGAAACAGGATGGTAAAAGGGCAGAGCAGAAGAAATGCAGATAAATTAGCAGCAGCCAAGAAGTAAAGAGTCAAGGGAGGCTCTAGGGAGGGAGATACACCCTCTAAAAGCATGCTGCCAGTGATATACTTCCAACCAAGACCCACCTAATAATAGCATATTTATCTACTGAAATCAGCAATGAATAAATCCACTAATGAGCATAACGCCTTTATAATCCAATCATCTTCAAATCACATGAAGCTTTTGGGGTACATTTTAGATGTAAAGCATAACATTCTCTGGCCTTGGCCCCCAAAAGACTCATGTCTACCTCATTATGCAAAATCCACTTAGTCCATCTCTAACAGTCACCAGAGCATAAAAACAGTTCAAGTACCGCTAAAAAGGTCCAAATTCAAAGTCTAGTCAGGGAAATACTTACCTGTGAGCCCCTATAAAAATCAAAAAAAAGTTAAATACTTAAAACATAAATGGCACAGGATAAACACCTCCTTTCCAAAAGGGAGGAATAACAGAATAGAAAGGACAATGCAAGACCAAAACTCAGCAGGGTCAACATTAAATTCTGTCATTCCAGGTCTAGCACCCAGGTAAGACATGGCAAGATATAAGCCTCATAGGCCCCAGCCCTGTGGCACTGTTGGCTGCCACCTTCATGTCCTCTCTCTCGAGCTTGCTCTGCTCAAAATCTGCAGCTGTCCTTAGTAGACTATCCATATTCCCGGCACTTCTAACTTCTTGCATTCTCTGCTATACTTTTAGCTTTACTCTGACATCTTCAAATACTGTCCTCTCAGGGGCATACTGCCTGGCCTCCTAGGCCTTCTAACATCTAAGCAGAAGCCTCTCTGAACCCACCACACTTGTATCCTGTATACCCATATGGCCAGCATCACAAAGATGTTAAGGCCTGCTACCAGTGGGAGCAATAGTTGAGCAACCAGGGCTACAGTGGTCTCTGAGTGCCTGGATGGCTGAACTCTGGAAAAAGCTTTCCTAGACAGCTGTCAATGAGCTGGGCATCTTGAAGCTCTCTTCTCAAAGCAACTATTTATACTTTTGCATCTTTCAGTTTGTGATGGGTGGGTTCTTGCTGAGATGCATTTACATCATCTTTCCTACTGTCCTGGTAGAAAGTACTTGCTTCTTTTTGATGCTAATCTTTTTAGCAACCATGTTCTGGTTTGCCCCAACTCTGCAGGCACTTCCTTTCTAATGAAACTGCAAACTTTTCAGATAATTTTTTTTGCTCCTAATTTTCACTATAGACCTGGATAAAAGCTGCCACCAATATCGATGCCACAGCCTGGATATTGGGCTGCTTTGAAATTTTTTCTGCCAGATTAATTAGACTCCCATGGTTAATCTTAGTCTCCTGCAAAAACTCAGAACATGGACAAAATGAAGACAAATTTTCTGCCAGGGTGTTAACACATATGGTTTATAGGCCAACTGCTAAGGGAACGCTTGTTCACAGCTGAAACTTCCTAATTGCCTATATTGTCTGCATTTCTGTCAGCATTTGGTCTTCTGAGCTCAAACCAGAATCTCCCAAGCTCAGCTTATAGTATAGGACTTCCCTAGATGGCATTGCTAAACCATGTTAAGCTCCTCTCATAAATGACTTCCAAAGATTTCTGAACTATGTGAATATTTTTTAAAATGTTGCCTACATTTTGTAAACCAAAATGTAGTCTAACATGAAATGAATAATGGTAAAAAGTGACAGTGTACATGTTAACTTTTTTTTTGTCTTTTGGGACAGGGTCTCGCCTATACAGTTCAGGGTGGCCTTGAACTCACAGTGATCCTCCTGCCTCAGCCTCCCAAGTGCTGGGATTACATGCATATACCACCATGCCTGGCTGTTAACATATTCTTAATTTTAATTAATATTTAATAATAGCCATCATTTGATTTTGTATTATTCACTAGACACTGCTTAAGGACTTCATTTGCATTATTTATTTAATCCTAATGACAGCCATAGTACATAGTAGTTATTATGATTTCCCCAATTAATTGAAACTTAGGTGTAAGGGACAAATAACATGTCTGCCAGGGTAAATATTTCAATGGTAGCTACTGGATTCTGGGGTTAACATTGTTAACATTTATTTACAGTACCCTTGGTCATCATTTTTTCAAGTAACTGCTATTTACTGAATTTAACATAGGCACATTTTACAAAAATTGCCTTTAAACCTTAGTAGTAAATGTACAGGATTACGTGCTTAATAAGAATCTAAAAAATGACAGAAAAAGCACATTTCAAAACCTGAACTTGCTGATAATCTGACAAATTATCGGACAGTTTAGCAACACAACTTTATCTTTTGATACTAAAATATGCAAGAGCGTTATTTTTCCTCTGTACATCAACAGAGAAACTGAAGGAAATTATTCAACTCCTGTAACTTTTGTCTTGCAGGTGCCAAGTGACTAACATAAATCTTTCAGATAATTCCTTCTGGAAAAGGATACCTTTTTCAACACTTTTTAATCAAGAATATTTACCTGATTGTTCCAAAATTCTTGGTTCAGGTTCATCCAATTGTAAAAGCTCATCAAGAGCTAGTTTTGCTGCATTGGATCTAGACTCCTTTTTATTTTGTCCCAGTCCAGTCTTATATTGAATACCATCCACCACAGCACAGAAAGCAAAATATGATCCCATCACATTACCTTGAAAAAGAATTCACAATGACTGCTACAGTAATTCACAATATAGTCTTATAAAGAATTGTCTGTATATAGGAAAACATTCTAGTACAAAAATTATAAAAAAAAATTTAGTGTAAAACACTGGCCTTTCTGAGGGCCAAAAGGGATTGAAACCAAGCTGGAGGTTCTGAGGATTCAAGTAGCTAGACAGGCTCCAGAATCAGTGTGAACCATAGCGTCAGCTTTAGAATACTGCAAGAGCCATACATGGGGTGACAGTGAGTTTCTAAAATAATGCTTGGCATCCAATCTATTGAATAACCAATGACAGGTAAAAGGAGGAAACTTCTGGTAACATTTCTTTAAAACTTCAGGACAAATAAAGTTGAATTTGTCTCATCTCTGGATCCCTCTAACATTTATACATTCCAGAACACAAGAGATTTCTCTGAAAAACCCATGTAGAGGTGGTACAGGGAGAACCCACAAAGAAAACTAAAATATACACAATAATGAAAAGAAATTAAACTGAAAGTCCATTCTTCTAAAATTACTTTTACATTTTTTTGGTAAAAAATGAAATGGAATAATCTAAATTTATAGGTTAAAGATTTTTCTGATTCAAGTTTTGCTTGTTGGTATATGGACTTTTAACAGCCTAAATCTCTACACTTTGGTTATGGATAACTAAATAGAGAGTCACCACACATAAACCATACCATCTTATTTGCTCACATACCTAATTATTAAAAAAAAAAAAAGCCAAATTTTATCAGAAATTCTTGTCTACATCCATCTGAGTAAACTGCTTTCCTCCCATCATCCAAAACCTAAGTGTCCTAGTCTTTCCTTCATGATTCACTAAGCCAGAGGGCATTCTGTGTATTTAGCAAATGACCCAGCTGATTCTTACGTAGCAGATACTACACATATCCGTTGATAAGTATTGGCTTCAACCAGTTTTTAACTAGGGTGCTCAAACTTTAATATGATTCTAAATCACATGTAGGATTTGTTCATAATACTGATATCCCGTTCTCATTACCCAGCCTACATATCATGCTTTGAATATAAAATGAACATAATTAATAGTCAATGGGTCATGTGTCTGAGAAATGTTTCCTCAGAGCAGTAAAAATTTTCCTTCATAAATCCTTTTCTTCCTTACAGTGATCAATAATTTACTTTTTTGAGGGGTAGCCTGAGGATAATACAGGAAAATTAACAAGATCCATAGAGATTAGGCCCATCTTTTACATTAAGACCCTATTTTTTGTCAACTGTTAAATTTACTAGAATTTCATTCAAAGCAACAGTCTGAAAGTTGGTATCACTGTGGTAATAAAATCAATAGCTCTAAATTCTTCAAAGATACTAGCTTTGAGGTCCATACTGGCATAACTTAGTATTGAGAAAAAGAAAGAAATCAAACTACTTGCAGGTACAGATATGCACAAAGATTTCTAAAGACTTTTTTTTGACTTGGCAGGTTTAAACTGTCAGTTATCCCTTAAAAGCACTAGTTCTTTTATTACACGTTGCTAAAGTTCTTCCTAATTATTGGCCAAAACATGAAGCGATCAGAAGCTGCTTCATATATTTTATGCATCTACATTCCTGTAGCCTTCCACAGGTACACGATAAGGGTTGCAAAATTTAAGGAGAATGGTAGAAACTGTAACGGACAAGTCTATAGACAGTATGAACTACATAAGTACTCTTTTCACATCAAATCCTTGAATTTCGAAGCCCATATTTAACCATGTTTTTCCTTAGGCATCATAATCACAGAATGCTCTTAAGATCATTATAGTCCAAATACTTAACACCACTAGAAAAGCATGTTTTATGTGCAAGAATATTTAAAATAATCCAGGAGACTGACTTCAGTTTGGCTATCCATACACAAGAATTACAAATTGATGACTATAAAACTTTATATACTGTATTTATTTCGAGGCTCAAAAGGCCTAAAGCATAAACATAAAAGTTTAAGTACACTTGTCAAATTAGTATTTATCTAATTCTCATAGTCCATGCAATAATGAAAGGTAACACCACTTAAATGTTCCGCTTCTAATGGAAAAAAGTTTTCTAGTACTTGCCTGTTGTGACAGTTTCCTTAAGGTCAAGCTGAACCCGCTGCATTTGTGCAAATTGGTGTAAGGCTGACACAGGATTTATTTCTCCACGTCTGTATTTCATTATAAATTCCCTAGGTATTTTTTTTGGAGGAAGGACAGGATTTGAAATAGATGACAGACTTTTGGAAAGCAATGGTTCTGGAAAATTACCTACAAGTAAATGTTTACATTGTCAATTTGGTTTAAAAAAAGAGCAAAAGCACTAAATCCTTGAAAATGCAAAATAAATTTAGTCATATGTGTTTTTTGTAAGTTTCTATTCAATAAATTTGGCACACACGACAAGCACAATCTATTACTGTACATATCTTTCATTATACTAAGGGTATTTTCCAAAGATGCAATACCATTATTACATCATTATGATACCAAAGAATCATGGAATTTTAGCAACAGCAAAGTCTTTACAGATGATGTCACTAAGGTTTAGAATAGAAAACAACACTGTTGGCACTAAAATCTGGTTTACAGCTCCCACTCACTATTTATACTGCCGCGATACTCAGGCACTACAAATTATTTAACTAGTGTACTTCAAGTTCAATCGAATTTTTAAAGTATATGTCTCCCTACTTCATACTTGACACGAAGCTAAATGATGTGGGGAATACAAATTCATGTAACTGCAGTCCTTCCTCTGAGGCTTCATGTCAAAAAGGACAAAACACACTTGAAGCCTTCAGCAGTGAAGGTAGTATGTGAGCAGCTGGGGTAGAAGTTCTACAGTTCAGAAGTTCAGATCCTCTCTAGGTGTGAAGCAGCCGCAGGGAAATGTATATACAGCACATCCAGGAAACATTTAACCCAGCGGCTCAAAAGAACATACTGGCCATTCCAGAATCTTAAAGCCCTGGGGAGCTACTACAAATGAGAAGAAAGCATACCTGTCACTTGTGTGACCTTGGATGCCATATTTAGCAGGCTGCCACTTTCAGGGGAGCATCTTGCTGGTATAGTTACTGTCTGGACTGCTGGTTGAACGGGCAAGTTCTTTTTCAACATCTGAGCGAAGCTGGGGACCCTGGACCTCTGAAACCAGTCACTGCTGCCAGAAGTTTTCTCACCTACAAATCACGATAAAATTGGTGGGAAATGAAAGCAAAATACTAAAAATACTCTGGAAAAACAAAACAAGCCCCAAACCTGATTTTCCATTAATGGCTATTACATACACACACACAGCCAGCGGCCAAGCCCTTCTAACTGATTTCATGATTGCTTTGTGAGTTTTAATAGATGATGAACCCTCCCGAATCCTTTCCTTAACTCTACCGCGAGGAGGGCAAGAAAGGGCAGCAGTCTGGGGAAACCCTTAAATCTACTCAGGGATCACGAGGAAAATTCGCAGGGTCAAGAAAACACAACGGCATACGTCGGTCTCCCAAATTCTCGCGCAGTTCCCACTCACTGCGGCTGTCCTCGCCTTCCTCTGGGGCTGACCCCGCCGGTAGGCGGGTGTTGGTCAGAGGCAAGCCTAGCCTCAGGCTACGCGTCCGCCGGCTGCCTCCGGCTGCCGCCATTACTCAGGCGTCAACCTCTCCCCTCAGGCTGGAACACGCGGCCCAGATGCGTCTTTTAAAAGCGGCCCTGAGAGGCCCACCCCCGGCACCCGCTTTGTCCAATCACCAACGGTCTGTGTGGCGCGTGCCCCGCCCCACCCCGAGCGTGCGCCTGCGCCTGCACGGTAGCTTTCTGCGCGGTAGCCTTCTGCGCAGTTCCTTACCCAGGGAGGAGGCACCAAACTTGGTGTGAATTCCAGGCCTTTGTGATATCATCGAGCCTAGGGGCAGAGGGGCAGCCCTGCCAGTGGAGAAGTCTGGTAAAACCGAATTGGGCCTCTCAGCTACCTGACCGTGCCTCCTGCCATTGTCACAGACCACCATGTGGGTGGTTATCTGCCACTTAGTTTTCTGTAGGGCACCCACCCTTACCCAGGTGTTTGGAGCTACCTCCGGGTACCTGTACTACAGGAGTTTCAAGGGCATCCTTTACTTTATCCGCAAATACAGCCTGAGAAAATGGGCAAGGCCTGTCGTTGGTAACCTTCCTGTGAAAACCCCATAGCTATGCAGGAGCTTGGCTCCAGGGTCCAAAGGGATCGTTCAGGAACACAAGTTGGCCCCTGAAAGCAAATGACTAATATCTGAGTAACAAATCCAATATGGCTGTTTTTAATTCTTTGAATTCATGAAAGTTGAAAGAGTACCTAAACGAAGGGTTACCTAAAACATTTAAAAAAATATTTTTAATAGTAAATCACTGACCAAATTTTACTGTGTAACCAGGAAAGAATTCAAAGGATAGAGTGATACTGTTTTAACAAAGTTTCAGTGACCAACTACTTTTTTTTTTTTTTTTAATATGGACACGGCTTTGTAAGAGTTAAATGTTGTAAAAAAGATGGATAAAGACAAGAATTAATGGCTCATTGCAGCAAGAGGTAAATCCATCCATAAATATGTGACAAAATTAAAAAACAAACAGACCCATCTCTCATCAAGCAATGTATTTTTAACGTGTATTTTTCTTTAATGATTACTAAGATGTGTTGTGTTTTTTGATCAAGTTCCCATTAGAAATTGTAATGAAAACTCAATCTACATTTTTTTCTTAGCATTTAGAGACTTTTGATTATAGGAAATTTAAAAATTTAAATGTTGCCAAGATGTATAAAGACACAGTAAAACTTCAGTACAAAATGTAATTTCATTAGGATCAAATGTGAAGAGAAAAAAAGAATGGAACTACAGGCTCAAAGAGTAAAATGAATGAGGAAAAAACTGTTTCACTCGAGTTTTACTCACTACTTTTAGCATTTTTTGGTGTCTATTGAAGCTGTGATTGTGTTCTAATGATAATTTTATATTTCCCTCATTGTTTCTACAATTATTACTTGGAATTCTGTGAGAAATATTTGAAAATGGGAGTCACAGACATTTATTTTATTGAGTGTAATCCAACACAATCATTTATTTTGCTGTTTGAATTATCCCACTTTCATCGAGAGGCCTTTCACCATTGGGAGGCTTCTGTGTCCTTTTGAAATGCTTTTTTTAAAAGGATTTCTTTATTTTCTGGAAGTAATCATCGTTTTCTCTTGCCAGTTTTATTGGAGGAGCCTCCTAACTGGTTTCCTATAGCCTGGGCAGTGTGGCAAGACTTCTATCACAAACAAACAAAGAAACAGCACAACAAGAACAAAAACTAAAAAGCAGATGTGTAGCATGGTGATGAACATTTGGAGATAGGCCTTTAGGGTATAAAGGAAATTCCAGAAGACTTTCAGAGATAAAGTATTCACTTTCACCAAACATTTTATTGCCTATACTGCTTTGCAAGGTACTAAAGAAATTCATACACATATGGTAGCTACAATTAACCTTGACAACACTGGGGGATACTAGCTTATATTCCAACCAAGAGGGGATGCCATGGGAGGGGTTTGTAACAGGTAAAAAGAAAAAAATAATGAAAATCATGTAAACAATATGGCAGAAAGAAAAGTGAATATGTGATACTAAAAGTGCATTATGTGTTAAAAATAAACGTTTGGCATACCAATAGGAAAAACTTGGGATAGAGAAAAGATCTTTAAAGAAAAAACCTTCGAAAATACTGTGTATTTGAAATCTGACATCTTAGGACCTGGAAGGTTAGTTTACATGTAATCATCGTCTTCTCTTGCCAGTTTTATTGGAGGAGCCGTGTAATTGGTTTCCTATAGCATTGTTTGTTCTCCTCTCTGTCCTATTTTCCTTACTCTAGCCACAGGAGTTCTCTTTACCTGTTATCAACCCCTCCCAGTGTCCCATCTCACTTTGGGATATGTCAGATCCTTGCAGTGGCCTGTGAGTTCCTACACGATCTGCCTCATCCTCCTCGATTTCATTTGCCATCATGCCTGCTGTTTACTCTGCTCCAGTGAGGGTGGCTTTTTTTGTTGTTAATAAAACATAGCAGGCTGGCACTTACTTGAACCTTTTTCCCTCTGATAGCCAAAATCTCACCTTGGTTTATTCTTTTACTTTCAGAACTCTTCTCTGCTCAAATGCCCCTTCCCAAGGAAGACTCCCTGTGTAGTAGTACACAAGCACAAGCATATCCCCTCACAAATCACTCTTTACATCCTGCCTCATCCCTTTCTGCTTAATTTCCTTTGTCACACCTCATTTTATAATATAGGTTTATTCATTATCTGCATAGCCCATGTAGTTGCATGCATAGTCTTTATCTGTTTTGTTTGCCTTTCTTTCCCATGAAAATAAGTTGAGGGGATAAGGATGAATATAATCAATACCCATTAATTCCACAATAGTGAATATTCATTGAATATCTATACATAGACACTAGGCTGGGAAGGGGGACTACAAGGGTTAAAACAGTCTTGATTTTGGAGATTACCGTATAATAATAATATAGTTAAGAAATAGATTCCTGATTGGGTCAAAATATTTACTGGCTCCTGTATTCTCCCTCCTGACACACACACAATATGCCAAATACCCAGTGGCCTTGTCCACTTTCTTTCAGCCACAATTAACATGTTAAATGTAGCATGTTAACTGTAGCTGGAGAGGTAAGATGATATTTGGGGGCCGTTTTTTAAAAATATGATTACAATTTTCATACAAATTTTAAATTTAGGTGAGATTTGGCAGATTTAGGATCTGGGACAGATAATGTATGATTTGCATAACAATCTCCAGTGAGTTAAAATGAAAGAAAAAATAAAAGTTTAAAGTTAAGGTATGTCAGTGTAATTCAAATGATTTCTATTTTAAGGCTACAATAAATGTTGGTTATGTATTTTAGTAAACTGCCTCATATTTGATACTTAAATGACACTATATTCCAAAGAGGTAGGGAAACTGGCCGTGGAGGGGAGACACTATGGTATTTTCAGATTGTCAGCTATACAAACATACTTGAAAATACAGTCCTGAGCACAGGGTACTTAATGTATTGGCTGTAAGACTGGCAGAAATTCAGACCCATGGAGAATATCCTCCAACATAAACTTGTTTCTAAGAAAGATAAATATTAATGGGCATGCATATTGTTGGTATGCATACTCCACCACTAATTTAGGGGAACTAAGACAGCCACCCATGCTTCTGTCTGCTTCTACCTACAGCAGCAACTCTATTTTCTCCTGATGCATAGAACCAGTTACTGTAGCTACCTTTTTAACAGTGTGACCAGCTGACATGACAAACCTAAATTAATTCCGTGGTAGGCTCAAATTCTAATTTAATGGGACAACTATTTCCCTGGTAGAAACAACTTGCCTGAATACTAAGAGAACTAGACAGCAGAACTGGACAGAATGAATACAAAGTGTGATTAAAAATAACAATGAATGTTTAAATTTGAAAAATTATGTAAGCTAAAGGCATTGCCATTAATCCCCCTTGCTTCAAACACACTTATCCCATCATTCTTTTCACTTTCTGACGCACCTCTGGAAGTTCTTTTTTGTGTCTGTACTTGCAAGATGCTACAGCATAAAGATCTCCATCTACAGTTTTAGTTGTGTTAATAAACAGCCATGCGCTATTACAACAGCAAAGCTTAATTCTCTTTTTTTACACTTTTTAGACATATACCCTTTGCTAAGAACCTTAGCTTTTCTGGATGGTTCTGGTTGTTTAACTTGTCAGAGGTAAAAGTCCCTTATTGATCTAAGTGCATAGGTTTGAACCAGAGCTTCCTTGAGGTGTTTTCTAGCTCTGGCTTCTTCATTTTTACTGTCTGCTCAATCTTTAAAGTGTACTGACTTGGATAAATTTTCAACCTGAGTTGCTATTAATATTATAGCTACAGATAAGATTTTTTATTTGTTTGTTTTGGCACTGTGGATTTAATTATTATTTCAGATCTTTGTTTCTTTAAATTCTTTGTAATACATTTATACATGTATATTATATATGCATACAATAGATAACATTTATGCATTATGTATCTCCTTAATATTCACAAAAGAATACATATAAACATACGTATAAGAATATAATGAATAAAAACAAGGAGCTGTGTACTTACCCCTAAACATTTCTAAACCTTCAGATGTGCCTTTCCTTGATTACATACTCCTCAGGGTATTTTTTTCAAAAGTATTAAAGGCATTTTTATCTACTTAAAATTTTATAATAATCATCTATGGGGGCTGGGGATTTAGCTCAGTGGCAGAAAGTGCCTGCCTGGCAAGCACAAGGTCCTGAGTTTGATTCCCAGTACCACAAAAAAAAAAAAAAAAAATCATCTATGAAAAACTGTGGCAACTTTAATGTGATAATTAGAAAATAAATTATCGAAGGATAAGAAGAGCTCAAAACAACTATGGACTGAAACCATTATTGTGACTTTATTACAATAGTTACAAACAATATTTTAGTGATATACAATCATCACAATTACTCAAACTATATACATATGGATATTTTTACAAGTCTACATTAAAAAAAAGAAAAAGCAGTTAACCCCATCACATTATCAATATTTTTTTCTAAAAGTTATGGTCAATAACAAAAAATTCACAGTTATTCTGCAAATATTTTAAAGATGCAGGAATTATATTGCACACAATACAATTATAAATTCTAAAGACATTGATAAATTTAATCTAGTTTTTCACAAAATTTACATTATCATGCAATACTTCACTGTACACAGAATGGTGGAACTAGAATAAACAGGTTAACTTATAAACTTTAAA